TCATACCAACCTTTTTATTTATTTACCAACAATTTGCTTTTATAATGGAAATGTATTACAGTAGAACTGAACGTCAACTATTAAATCATTTTTGTTGATTTTTAGGTTACCTTGGCGTTATAAATGAAATAAAAACAATTTTGAGATTTTCAAAAATACCATTCAAATTTTCCACTTTTCCGGTTGATTTTCCAAAGATTTAATTCTTACCCCTACTTAATATACCTTAAATAAGAATTTTTGGATTTTTATTTTCAATTATGAACCCCCTCTTTTTGAACACGAATTCGACTAGAGAATATTTGTTTATGGCCATTTTGATATGCACGTTTGCCGTTCATGATTTATAATCGTTTTAAATTTAGAATAGAAAGGTAATAAATTACTATTGTCATATCTATTTTTAAATCAAAAATTGACAATTCTTTCCTACTCTTCCTTTGCTGTTTCAAAAACAAAAATATCTAATTACTTAAGGTTATATATAGTAGGGGTAAAAATTAAAAATAGTTTTAAAATAAATCTTTTAACGATTTCAGAATGATAAAAAAAAAAAAAAAAGAGAAATAAAACTCACATAAAATCCTTTGAGAAAATTGCATAAAAAAAAAAAAAAAAACACAAATAATTCGACTTCGTAAAATAATATCTATAAGTAATAATACTAGCGGAATCGCACTTGAAATTTTAATCAAGTTTCGAAATAATCGAAAAATCGAAAAAAAAAGAAACTTTTATTCACCATAAAGGTATGTCCGTTTTTCCTATACGGTTCTTCTGAAATGATTGCCAAAACTGCAAGGAAAATCAAAAAATTGACCAACACTATGTACCGACTAGACTATAAAATTGAAAAAAAAAGTCCTTTGTCACGTTTTGACTCGAGCAAGATTTCGAGATTTCTAGTGTATATAAAAGTTGTTTACAGACACAAAACCGTATATAGTTAGACCGATACGTCCGTCGCTATAAGTTTTAGAAATTGAAATTTCGTTCTGCGCAATATGGGAACGTCGTGAGTAAAATACGCTCCACACTATGCGTGCTTTGAGTTTTGTGTTTTCACGTTTTCGTATTATCTCGCGATTAGTGTATACGGCTTTTTACGAAACATTTTTTCGTAAAAACTGTTGTTAAAAATGTTTTTATATTGTTTCGTTGCGTTTCGTATGGTTTTGTGTTGTTTCGCGTTGTGTTTGTTTTCGTGAACAGTTTATAATTATTTGGATAGCGAATGAAAGTAGGCGAGACGTGTAAGGAACACCATCGCTATCAACTGTATATTTCGTTATATCGATGTCGTGTTAGTAAAGGAGAGGTCGAATTTCTCCGCGAAAAGTGCACGACGGCCATCCGCGAGTTTCGAACGTAGGGATCCAAACGAAATGGACGGCATTGTAAAATTAATAGCTCCCTCGCCACGTTCGGAATCTACAACAAAAAAAAACACTTGGTAATGGCGTAAGGCCAGACGGGGACTTTCGTGGTTTCGGGAAGACGCGCGGTCCGGACGACGGACTTCTCACGTTCCGTTTGTTTTTTCTTCGATTTTCGCTTCTTTTGTGCGGCGCGCGCCCGGAGGCGCCTCCGCGACCGTGCCGTTCGGAAAGCACGGGGTATCCTACTCGCCCCGTGAAACGTGTGCCCTCCCCCCCCTCCCGCGCGGTTCACGGACAGACGACAGCGTGACAAAGTGGTCGGGGCCCGGGCCGCGATGAACCGACGCGGCAACAATATCGCGTTCCGCGTTAATAATAATAATACGCGCGGAGCGTACGAATAATAATTGGAGCCGGTCCTCGAACGGTGTGCACCGCGTACGCGGTATTATCAGTAAAACACGCGCGTATTAACATAATGTTTAACGGTGCGCTAAATTCAATACGTATGCGTGATAATAAAATACCGTAACCATTGTCGTCTGTAGCCGCTATACCCGCATAATAATATTTAATGTTATAACAGCCGCCGTCGTCGGAATCGTATTGTGGGCACGTTACGATATTCTGTTGCACGCGAGTGTTGCAGCAGTATACGCGCGGACACATTACAATAAATGGAAATATTTTACCGAATCGAAACGCGGCCTATTACCGCGGCGGGGCGGTATTACTGCGGCAAGACTGCGCGTATCGTAATAAATATTGTTATATTATAAAATGCGAAACGGTAAATTCCCGTCGGTGTTAAACGGGTGCCTGGAAATGTATTTGTTTTTTTTTTCTCTCTCTCTCTCTCTATATATATATATATTCTTAGAGCGCGGCAACGAGGCAATTATAAGTGACCACCCGAAAAAAACACGACAGACGAGCGTATTTTTTTTTTTATCGTTCCCGAGAAACATCGGTTCCTGTCCGGTCCCGAAAACTCTTCTTCCGGTACACCGGTTCTTCTTTCGGTTTTTAGCGTAACAGTAACAATTGAAACGACAATTGTTATCATTACTCATGAGATAGACAGACTACTCAAATAGATTAAATGTTTACTCGTTTGAACAGGGACAATAGCACGAACTTTAAACGCGCGAAATACGACGCAAATAGCGAATTAACAACTTTAAAAACCGCGCGTTACACGATATTCGTAAATCGTTCTACTGATTATTAGTCACCGAGATTATCGGCGTTTCTCAAGGACCTATGGAACCGAAGAACCGAGAACCGGAACCGACCCATCTCTATTTTTCGATCTAGTTAGTGTAATGAGACGGCCATTATTTTTTTTTTTCATTTTTCGAGTAGTTTTCGTGATAATTGAGAAAAATCAGAAAAAAACGCAGAGAAAACGCATGGAAAATTCAATATTTTCGAATTATCTATTTTTATCGTAATACAGTCAGTTAATATTCGAAAATATCTGAAATATGTTTACGGAATGCTTATATTAGACTGTTATTGATTAAAAGATACAATTTTGACAAATATGGTGGCGATTTTTGAGGAAATGTATGTAGGAATTTAAAATTTTAGAATTTTGTTCAGTTATATTTGGTTTTATGTGGATAAAACTGTTTTGGTCGAGCAAAAAATGATTGAAAATTTAACATGAGGTTCATTATAATTGTGTTTAATGGTGATAAAAATAAAATTGAGTCTAATGCAGTCGTTTTTTTTTTTTTATTATTATAAGCGATTTAATTTACGAAACCCGTAAAAAACACGAAATTTCAAAACATGTATATCGGAACTTTAATCAAAATCGATTTTCGTTTACAATGATTCCGCATATCGTAACCTACGGATACAAATTAAATAACTTTATATCGTATTTTCCCAACTTGTCACCTACAAAAGTGGCACACCGCACACTTATCAGCATTCAGTAGCATCAACACTTGTTTTTTATTCCAACAATTCCGTTAGTATGAATTTTTATGTATCCGCAAGACGTTCAAGAAACAATATTAGTTTTTTTATTTTACGAAAAACCTATAGATTCATTGCGATAAGGTAGCCGGCGATTCAAATTATTCATTTTTTCCGTAAACGGCGCCTGCCATTTTCTATAGACACATTACATTCCCGTAGGGAGATTAACGACAGCGGGTTCTTTAGAAATATTACAACTTTTTTTTTTTTATAGTTAGCTGCATATTATACAGAGGAAGAAGGGTGCACCAACCATACCAGCAGTAGTCCATTTTTGAAAATTGTTCAACAGAGCAAAACTTCTATTTAATATACGGCTGCATGGCGACATGGTAGAACGATATAGTGTAAGTGACGTCATGTTGTTATTATTAAAGCGAATTTCTATAGGAACGTCTGCGACACTATCGCACGACAATAAAATAGAACGATACTATATTAATATATGTATATCAACGCAATGTGTGATATTTGTTTCAAGATAGCATAGCCATCATAAAAGCGATCTCGTATTGTTCACAGGGCGATAGTTCGTGTTAGTATAATTATCGTCGGTTGCGAATTTCACAACAATCGCGACAGTGATTAGCGTCGCGCGGACCGGGTTTCGGTCTATAATTATATACGTTATGTCCGTCTATCGATTGCGCGCTCGTAATACACAAGACCGTGACTGGAAAATAATTTCGAAGGGGTTTTCTAATTTGACCGAGTGAAATAATTATTTTCCCACATTATATAACGCGAACGAAATGTCAGGGGGGGGGAACTTTAACTCCAACTCCCCCATAAGTAGGGCCTTGATCGAATTAATAATTTTGTTTTTTTTTGTTTTTTTGTCTATCATCGGTCGCATTATTACGTTTATAACGGTTCGGGCGTCGTCGTAAGAATATGTGGCGGTCGTTCTAAAATATTATAATCTCGTTGGGCATTATATTATAATAGTTATTAATACTACGACCAGCTACACAATCGTCACATACCTACCAGCGATTATAATCGGACAAAGGTTAACGTTTTTTTTAAAAAATAATTTTATCTCGAAGAAGCAGTGTCATATAAAATCGCCTCTACCTGGTTGTGAATTTAAATTTCGCTCGCTGAAATTTCCATAAAAAGTAATTCAATGCCTGCACATAAATATATAAAACATATTCTTAGGTGGTCTTTAACTACAGGAAACCGAAAAGATCAAAATGGTATAATTCTTATGCATCTACCTCTCGATTAAGCTGGTTAAATTTTTACGAATAATATTAGGTATTATTATTATTTTTTTACGAGTATAGATTTTTAAAATATTGTAAAAATATTATAATGTCCGGTCGTTACGCGTCGGTTTAATGCACCGCAATAGACCAGTATCAATTGCGAAGTATTCAAAAATATCACAAACTACGTATACAATTTTTTTTAATCGGTTATCGTTATAATTGTTTTTTTTTTTTTTTTAACAGAAAAAATTTGCGTTAAAACGTTTACGTCACACGTACCGGCTACACTACATCATACACGAATAGAACCGCGGTTTTCAAACATTTTACTAACTCGCAGACCGCGAGTGCTTGTACACGATACACTGCAGATAAATAATAATATTATTCGAGTACATGAGATCGTAATATTGTTCTTCTTAACCGCAGACTTTTCAAATAAAACTCGTTCTCAAATTGCGGCCATTTTTCGTAGTGAATGTAATCAATACGTTTTGTTTTTTTTTTTTTTTTTGCGCTTATATACCATACATCCGAAATATATCGATACACGGGCGCCCAAGTATACTTTTGAATAACTATAGACTGTCGTTTGTTGGTTTTTTTTTTTTTTTTCTTTGTCAATCGGAAAATGGCAAACTATAGTAACCGTCCGTTCCGATCGCCGGCCACGTTCGAGGGAGCGACGACGGCCGGTCGCGTGTCGACAAATTATCATCGTTATTAACACTATATTGTGCCGCGTTGTGTATTATTAAAATATATTTGTATTCGCCGGTTGTGATTGTATTGTATACGACATGATATGTATTATAGCGGACTTACCTAACAACTTGGTGACTGCTCCCTGTTGATTGAACACGTGATGCGCGATTTCCGGATATCCGCGGTATCTGTTGGACAGCTCGAGTAGTCGTGAGTGTTGTTGGTGCTGCTGGCTGGCGGCCATGGCGTACAGATCGTGCAGAGTGGCTGGCGACGGTGACGACGACGGGGGCGGCGACGTGGACGGCTGCGGTGGCCGGCCGGCTAATGCGGTGGCTGTGGTGCCGCGAAAAAACGAAAAAAAAGAAAAAAGAAAAATAATAATTATAAGGGGAAATGATGCAAACAGCTGGTAGGAATATGTAGAAGGGTTATGTACGAGAACGTCCGGTTTGGTCTCAGGAAGGGTCCTGTGCGGAGAACTACACAATATAACTATGCGGTTTTTTTTTTTTTATTTAAATTTTTCACTATATTCCGTATTCTAATGTGAACGAAATGTACGACCGAAAACCGTGATCGCAGGAATGTAGTAAGAAGTCGGTCGTCGGATAGGTACTGCAGTGAACGACTATAACCAGTGGTGGACGGCGACCCACCCATGCAACTACCTATGGATTTCCGGTATACGATACTTCAGTGTTCGGTTGTCAAAATAACGCGATGTGTTTTTCGAAAATCGAAAAATGTCAAAATAGTACCAAGAGTTCAGAAGGTTCGGTTTAGTGGTGGCCATTAAGTTAAATTTAACGGGCCCTGGTCAAAATCTCGACACTTAAAATTTCAATAAGTCCAAAATCCTGAGAGGGTCCACAAATAAGAATATCGTCAACATTTCGTCGGGAATTCCGTATTCTACTAGAGTGTTCAAATGTAAACGTACATGTCATATGTTTACTCAAAGGTGCAAAATGAATTCGGCGACATCTGTCGGGATTAATATTATGACACTGTCGAGATTTTAAACGTCTCCCAGTAGTAACTGTACTTACTTCTCAGTTTTAAGTTTTTCGTACATATAGTGGCGTAATTAAAATGATGCCAAAAATAAAGAAATTGTATTTGGAAATAATGCCATATTATATGTAACGCGTGTCCGGGTTAAAAAAAAAGTAAATTTTTAATCGAATGAAAATAATAATTTCGATTTATAATTATTTGTTTGACGACAATATTGATAGTATTCGCCTATAAACAATATCAATATTTATAGTATTTCATTATTATTGTATGCTATAATCAAATTAAATAATAACAACTGTTTTTTTTAACCGTATCCTCAAGTTGGCCCAGAAATCAACCCGAAAAATTCAATTTTTCATATTAAATTATCAAAACTCAAGTGTAAGCCGCCCCGTGGGGATGAATTTCGAAAATAAAAGCAGTCTTTACTAATACGACGTTTCTCTTGTTTTTAAAAGCATGTGCGCATAGTTGCGTCAAAATTTATGAACGGAATAAAACTGTAGATTTGTATAGCGAACAGACAGACTTTAAATTTTCATATTTACAAGATTTAATTCTAGCCTTTAGAATTGCTGCTGTTTTCTTATTTTTTTACCGATATCTATACCGATCAGATCATTGTTGCCGATTTGAAAATATTCTGAAAAATTAATATTTTTAGGGCTACTGAATTCAATTTTTAAATCAAGGTTATTACACGTGTAGGTAATAACCCGCTCGGATTTATACGCACCTAAAAAATAAAACGTGGACTTGATCGGCGTTTGTGATAGACCGACGTTTAATTAAAAATAAAAATTACAACCGCTGACGCATTTTTATTACAGAAACGTTATTAACACGGAAACGCCAACTAGGTAACGTATATTACGTATCCTAGGATTTTACAGCCGTATTATACAGAGTGTTTCATTTAAAACGAATCAGCAATATTTTCGTAGGGTTTTAAGCGTGAAGATTTTTGATTTTTATATTAATTTTTTTTTTTCCTTATTTTTGCGGAGTGTTTAAGTAGTATTTGAACATTAATTTCAATATTCTTTTACCCCTACTCTTTACATCTGAAAATGATTGTACCACTTTTTATTTTCAAACACAGGAACCCGTTTAAAACGTTTAGAACGGAAAATATTCGTCTATAAAATATGTGGATCATAGTTCGTAATCATCATGCATAATGCTAATATCGAATTTTTTCGATTTAAAATTAAGACCTGAGGAGCGTAATATTGTATAAGGGGTAGGAGCCGGTGTGACGCGAGGGCGTCATTTTAGTTTCTTAAAAGAGAGTGTAAACATTTCATGAGGTAAATTTCACCTCCCCGGATAGACATCCGGGTAATAGTTATTGTTAAAAAAAAATTGTTGAGGTTGCGTAAAATTGCAATTAGAAAAAAAAAAAAAATGGAATTTTTAAGCTTGAATACGACGGCCAAACACCGATTAACACCTTGGCCAATAATTATGGACGAAAATTGCAACGGGGTTCGAGTGCACACCTTATACTCTCCCACCCCCAAACGGTATCCCCGTATTATAAACGGATTACGCTGTCTATACCGCGTAATATATTATATGAGAATATTATTAGCAGACGTATAATAATAATAATATGTAGTGTGCAATTTTACCTGACCGTCAGTATTGTTTTTGACGATAACAATTGCCCGCGAAGAATGACTGACGTTTTATCGGATAAAAACGTAAAAAAAAAAAAAATAAAAATAAAAAAAAAAAAGCCGTTTTCTCTCGTGCCGACGTGTTGCCGATACTCCCGGGGAGAAAAACCGCGAACGAGAAAACGAAAAAAAAAAATTAAAGTGACTTGTAATATCGTTATAAAAACGCCGTTCGCGGGGACGACGAACGGGTGACAATAATAATAACAATCGTTGGCTCGTACATCGCCGGACGACCGCCTCCGCCGCCGAATGACCGGACACCGTTGTGGCGTGGCGCGGGAGAGACGATACCCCGGAAATCCGTCGGGCCTTTTGCGCGGACGGGAGCGAACTCGCGCGGACACGTTTCTCGGCCGGTACTCTCGGAAGCGGACTGACGCGTCCTCGGGCGTTCGCGGTTTTCGCCGCCGCGCCGGTCGATCACGGCACGGCGCGCGGCCGAACGCGCGAAAACCGCTCCGGCACGGCGTGTTAATACTGTCACAATAATAGCAATGACGATGATGACGATGATGATGACGACGGTGACGATGACGATGATGATGATGATGATGATGATGATGATGATAATGTTATGATAGACGCGCGTCACACGTTACGGCCGCGATGCCGGCGCGGCGTCGTTCGGGGACGACAATGGCGCGTTGTCGGCGTACAACAACAATGACGCGTCGCGGTACAACGTGTATAATAGCCGCGTTATTGTTATTATTATTGTCGTACGTACGGCGGGTATTATTGTAGCACTTTGCGCGCGCGGTAACCGCGGTGCGCGTATTTATGGGCGGGCGGTAACCGCGAACATCCGAAAAATACGCGACGCGTACGCGCGGTATTATAATACGTCGTCGGCGGCCATCTCGCGGTTGTTCACGCGTCAACTGCCGCGGCGGCGGCGGCAATTTTACGGCAAACGATCGGCGTAATCGGCGAATGGGGCGATAAACGCGTAGGAAAACGCGTAATAATATTCGCCTCGATCGTGTTTTCCTTTTGTGCCCGGTACGCTTATTTCGTAATATTTGAATTGTAAACGATCGCAAACGCGCGAGAAATAAATGCGAAAACACGTCGCGTTCGATACGACCGGGGCCGGGGATCGGACGTTTTTTTTTTTTTTTACCCGTGGCAAAACGCGAAAACGGCGCCCTTTTTAGACTGATTTTGAGCGGAGCGAGAAATGTATTGGTTGAAACTAATTACGATGTTTATTTATTTTTTATATTTTTTTTTTTTATCCGCGAACAACTTTTCTACCAGCAATTCGATTTACAATAGATAGTATTTTTTCTGAAAGGAAATCTGACTGCTTTAGGGAGGTTATTTGTTTGGTCTTCCCAGTATCAATCGTTATTTTTGAAGTTTGAAATATTATGTTTACTCATATCAATTGCACTGGGAATCGTGTACCGCGCGGTTAACATGTAAATGATAATTTATTTATTGCTTTTAACAATGTTTTTAGCATCGAATTTAGCTTCAGCAGATAATGCTTCTTGATTGCATAAACCAAACACTTTAATGACATCAGACAATTGTAAGTTTAATGCTCTGACTGCTTTCTGTTTTGAAGACCGCCTTGTAGTACTGTAACCGTTTAAAAATAAATGTAAGTTGTCCATTAGAAAATCCCATCTTTTTGGTGAAACTAAAAAAAAAAAATTAAATAATTCCGAAAAATGTTTCTATGAATGATTAAAAACTGTCAATATTCCCGTTTATAATTTAGTAATTTGAGCCCTGCCCCCTCCAATCAAGATTTCCGGGGCAAGGATCCCGGTTCGGCCCCTTAGATCCAGCCCTAGATACGACAACGCATTTGGGCCGAACGACGGAAAAATTCCAGTCGGAAACGCGCGAGTAATAATAATGATAATAATATTATAGTGTAATTTACTAGTATAGTACTAATAATTGTGAAAAGGGAACGTGGGCCTTATCCGCCTTAAACACGTTTTGCGTGAGTTCGTCAAACCATTTCTGCGGTTAAGTGATTCAATTATGTCATATAAATACGAATTCTGTATTACAGCACCCCGTGGCATAACGGGACGATCGCCGGCGCGTACGGCGTTTCCATACACGGGATAACCCCCTGAATATAATTGATTATAGGCATGGAAATTCAAGGCTGGGCACGGTTTGAACTCAGTAAAGACAAGTTAAATTTATGTTTAAATAAAGTTAATGATTACAAATTAATTCAAAATAACTTTATCAATTCAACCAAGTTTGAAAATAACCAAAAATTAATATTAACGCAGGTTAAGTTAATAAAAAAAAAAAAATGGCCAAATTGTCTATAATGACCTGATAATCTACCACACCCACAACCGGTGACAACAGTAAAAAAAAAACAGGTATTCATAACAGTTCATATTTTAAAATGTTCATAATTTACTGATGATTATAATAATA